AAAATTTTACCTTGGTCCTTGGTGCTTGAGGTGAATTCAAGTAGAAACAATTACAAAGATACCCAAACCTACCCTACCATTATTTAAGCAAAGGTATCATACCTTATTTGAACTTCTCAAACGATAATTGTCAGCAATGATGCGAAGGCAGTTTCAACTACTTTCTTTTTCTTCCACTTTTATTTTTTTTACATTTTTTTTTTATTGATTTGTGAATTATTCCATTAAATTATTTATATGTGATGGACATTTGTTAGTCTTCTACAAATAAATTTTTTCATGTTCTTTTTGTAGCAGTTGACATTGTAAGTCATGTAGAGGAACATAGGAACTTCTACATCAATTTCTCATTGTGACGAACAGTCTAGAACCATATCCGTCTCACGTGATCATAAAAATTGTGTACGTTGTGCGTTATATAAATGTTTATTATTATTTTTATATAGCGAATCAAACATCTATATATATATATATATTAAAAGCACTAAGGCCTTTAGCGAAATGTCGTTCGTCTTTTTTACCCTTTAAAAATAGAGTTCACAGTGGATAAAATAATAATTTAAATATTTTCCTAATATGTAGGATTGGTCATTTAACTGTCTTCCTAATATATCTGGGACATTAAAATTAACTATAATTTTCATTATTAAATTTTTCCATATTTGAATTATGTTGAGAATCCTAATATTTATGTTTCAAAATCAATTAAATTTTTATTTTACATAGATTTCTTTATCTAAAGCCCATTAACATTAAAGTTGTAGTAAACTATATATCTTTTTATCATTCAAAACTTAGAAATTAAAAACTCATATTTGCACTATCTTTTTTCCGTCAGATTAGCACTACTTTAAGCTACTAAATATAGGCACACATAAGCTATATATAACACAAAAGTAAAATACTCATTATATTTGGCAAAATTAAAAGGAACACCGAATTATTAATAAAAATTAAAGAACAATAATTATAATTTTCTTTTTTCCGTTAATTGAATTTTTTCTTGAAATTTTAAATGATATTAGCCAATATATTTTTCGACAAGTTAGTCTAAGTATTTTTTTTTACATGTTGTATGAAACGCAAGATTCTTTTTTAAAATTGAGTTGAAATATTTACTTTAGTTTCTTATAACTTTTGGGGGCTATTTTCCTTCTAATATCTTTATAATATAACATAATTAAGTTATTTAGATTCTTAAATACATTGGCACAGTAAAATCAGGGGTTTATTTTCATCATACATTAATAATTTTATAATATTAATAAATAAATTGAAAGGAATAATCGAATAGAAAGAAAATTAATATATCTCATTTCTAAAGAGCAATATTCAGTTTAGGTAAATAGATATGCAACATGAGTGGAATAGGTTAAAATTCGAGCGTGAGATGGAAGAGTTGTAATCCCCATTTTTATCATTTTAGAAGTGCAAAAACTTGTATTTTGTACTCATATAAATAATTTTGTGTTACTAAATTTAGTACTTAATATATAATTCCATTGAAGGACAATTTGAAACATTATATAGATGTTATTATCTTTAATCATGTGAATTTTGTTTTGCTATTAAAAAAAAAAAAAGAGAGAAGTGAGCGTAATTCTCAAACCGCAATAGAAGTTTGTGTTATAACGAGAATCTCGGAGGGAACTTTCCGACATTATCCAAATTGTAATTATAGCTAAATATTAAAACTTGGGATGAGTTAATATTAAGCTTTACATTAATGAAAGAATATTTTTTTTAATGTTTAAATAAATAGTTAAATAATTAAATTAGCTAAGAAGCAAAAGAATGCAGTTCATTTTTTTCCAAAATATGTGAACGTATTTTTCAAATGAAAAAAAACTCCTAGGATACATATATTTGTTCCATAAGAAGTGCATTAACGGTTAAAAAATAAAAAATAGAGTAAAATCAGTTATTGTGTAATATTAAGAGTCAAACCGGTAAAAATATAAACTTGAAACAAAAAAGATGAAATAGTAGAAGACAAGATATATTCTATATGGGTTATCATTCATTTTGTTTTTTAAACATTCCTACAAATTGAACTCCCTATATCTTTTTAATAAATTTAGTTTCTTGTTGTAAAATATTAATTTAATATTAGTCATTCTTAGACTTTAATCACATGTACCTTGTTTCTAAGAGCCATAGGGCAAATCTATCATTCCCAAATCTCAAAAAGACCAAGAGATTATATTTTTAAATTTGTTTTATTTGCCAAATCTTTGATGATGGTAAGTATTTTTGTGTTACTTTATTGTTTCAATATTAGATACAAAAATAATAATAATTTTTATAAGATATTCCACTTAATTCTAAGGACTTATATGATGCATAATTTTTTCTTTTATGAACTAGCTAAAGTGGAATTAACATTCTATCAATTTTAGGAACTCACTTTTTTTTGTATCTCAACACTTTGTTTAATGCTACATATTTTAATCTTTTAAGACGGTATATTTATTGATATTGAAAACACGCGCAAAGAGCGTACCTAAGACTAAACTAATAAAAATTGCCGACTCTTATATGATGATTTCAAAAATATTACGGAAAATTTGCCGAACCTTACCAGAAACTAAGATGATTGGGATAATTTGAAAAGTCTAATTTTAGTTATGCATAGAAAAGTAACCAAAAAATTGGTATGATATAATTTTTAGAAAATATTGACACCCCTAACTGAACACACTCTTAACCTTGATTTGTTAGTAAGTTTTTGATTATTTTTGAAGTTTGATCACACACTTTTGATCATTGATCCTTTTTTTATTTGAGAAAAAACTAAAAATCATGAAGTTTAATAGGCTTAAATCAAACGTCTTCCCTTCCCGTAGCACTATCTTATGAAGAAATCCCTCACTCTCTATTTCGTGTTTTCTCTTTCTTTAATTTTGTTTTGGTTTATACTTTGTTGATAAGTTATCATAATCAATTAATCATTAAGTTCTTATAGAGTTGCATGCCGAATTTTATCGCTAGTAATTGGCATATCAAAAGACAATAATATCCCTAGTGCGCTCAAATCATGGATCCGTCTCTAACCGTCGTCATACCCAAATATATATATATATATNAAAGGAAATTCATAGCTAATTAACAAGAAACCGCCACCAAGGTTGGGATATATAGTAATGAATCTTTGAAAGTACACGTAAAAGAAAAAAAAGAATATGCTAAGAACATGCATTTACATCCCTCATGTATTTAACGACCTAAATATTTTTAAAATATTTTTTATGGCAAGCTTCATGCCTTCAAGCATGCTGATTCACGGCCACGGTTGTTCTATGAATTTAAGTTATATACTGAGAGTTTAATATTTTTTTATATTATCGCCATAATTCAATCTACTATAGCAAGATATTTATCATTATTTTAGGTTATCAAATGTTATTAAATAAATTTATGCAGTTATCTTTTAAATTACATAATTATGTAATAGTTTTTTTGGTTATCTTTTAATGCATATAATTTAATTGGGTCTTGTCATTGCCAACAAAAGTTGTGGCGGAGTGGTAAGTACTCATTCATCTTTAACCAGAGGTCTCGAGTTTGAGCCGGTATGAAATCGTCTTTGTTAGGGAGCGCTTTACCCGACCCCGGGTGGAAACCAAGGTCCTTTCATTTCTCCCATTTTCAGTGTTCACGGATGCCACATCCTCCAGTCTGAGGAATGCGTTCTTGTTGAAAAAGCAGTCAAGGATACCTCAAAAGGAGAAAGTTCTCGTCTTATCATTGGCTTAAAGAGGAATATGATCAACAAAATGATTCCAGTCTACCTGGTGTCAACACCTTATCTTACCTTTATAATACGGATTTTAAGTTATCTAGATCGACAGTGTAAATTGTTTTTGCACTATTAATGTAGTTTAAGGATATTAGAAGTAAGATTACATATATGCCGTGCAAGTCTAGCCAGCGTAAGAATAGTGAATTGAGATTAAATTAAATGAATTGCACTACCTAAATGCAAACAGTACAAATATTTAGGCTCGTTCTTGCAGAATGGAATGATTGATGAAAAATTGCACAATTGAAATAGAGAGGTGTTACGTGATAAAAAGATGTCTACCAAAGTGAAAGATAAGTTCTATAAAACAGTTATAAGACCAGTAATACTTTCTGGGAGTGATTGGGCCTATATATTTCAATACATCTACAAGATAAATTCCTCAAAGATACGGATGCTAAGATGAATGCGTGATCATATAAGAGTAGAAATAATCACATTCACGAGAATATGTTTTAGACATTAAAACTTTTACAGATTTTATGCTTTTTAGGAGTGGTTACCTTTAAGCAATTATATGTTTAGAAATATATAGAATTTCTGATACTTTGCTTTGTATTTGCATAATATTGATTTTAAATAGAGGTTAGAATTCATATAGCTGACTGCAACTTGAGATTAGACTTAGTTATTGTTTATCAATATAGTTTAAAGATTGTAATTATTACTTATTACTCTTTTCTTTAGAATTCACGTTTATTACAGAAGTTACATATTACAATTGAACACAATATGATACCAACTATCTACTTGTAGAATTCCGAAGCACTATATATATCCCTGCTTCTAATGCATTCTTCATCATTCTTTCTTGCAGGAAAAAAAAAAAAACCAGCCCTTTGCTCCTGGCTTCTCCTCTTTCATCTTAAATATAACTTGGTGGAGCATATATTTAAGATGCCTACAACAGTTCGATGCTTTCTTAACTAACCTTCTCGTCTCCTTAAAATAAACAAGAGTTTACATGTTTAGGCTGCCAACAGAACCATGTAATCCTTGACAAGATCCTAATGAATTTTCTTTGGCTTCTTTTGCCTAACGAACAATAAATTACAGTAACTAGGAACCAATGTGTCTTATCTAAATTAAAGAAATATACACAAGACTTCTGCCAAATTCTCCAAGGAATTCAAATTCTTGAAATTGTCGAAGAAAAGAATTTTAATTGCAGTAATAGCTTTCGGAACTCGAAACCAAGTAAAAGAACATTTCACTTTCCTTAAATTAGTGAAGAAATAACTGTACAGATAAAAAGCTATACAGAATAAGTTGTGATATGTTAATCGTCATTATATATATTAACAGCTTTCTCTCAGCTCGGTCTATCGCCTTCACGGGGAAGAGTGCTGATCCTCACACTTGAGGAGAGTCATGATTTGAGACCTCGAAACACTTTGCCTATTATTAAGAACATCAATGTAACTTCCAAGCCTATAGCGATCGGAGTTTGTCAGTGAGAATGGAGGGTTTAGAAGGAGTAATGGTGCTTCCACCTGAAGGAATGATAACAAGCGGACTGCTTTTGAATAAAAAACCACTGCATTTTCCGTCCGACCCATGTACTCTTCAACCTGCCACATATTTCAATATCCAGTAAATCATTTGAGTTGAATCTTAGAGATTTAAGGATTTTTCTTTGTCCTAATGTTACATGCTGACAATTATATATTGTTGCTGGGGGGCAGGGGGATTTGTTCCACCAAAAACTACCAAGATAAATCAAATACTTACAGCCCCCTTTCTGCCGAGATCAAGCGCAGATTGAAATATCATCTCCATTGCATCTGGCACCTCTGTATTTCCTAGAAACAAGCAACAAACATACATAAATGTCTTCATCTTCATTTGGTACGGCCATAAAAGTAGGTCTATGAACCATTTTGAAGCAAAATAAATTAAAACATTATCACACTAAAAATCTAGGATGCTCTCAAGCTGTGATGTAAAACAATAGCTAAGGATAACATTTGATGCACGTAAACATAGTACAAGCAGGCAACTATAGAACAGTTGATAATTCTATATCTCCAGATCCTTCTCAGAAACCACCAAGATTGCTAGCATACTTTTTTCTCTTGACAGTAGCAATGGGATTAAAGCTAAGCCAGGCATATGACAGCTAGAATAATCCTACTAGAAGAAAAGGAGGAAACAGAGGACAAGCCAAAAGCACAGCAACCTTTAGTAGTGTTCACATAATAAGCACAAAGATGTTGAATAAAACAAGGGAGGCACACAGCACAAGTTTCACAACATGTTTTTTTAATTTATAAAGACACAAGTTTCACTACTTAGTCACCAAATATGTACCAGGCTCAATATGTTTGGCAAGTTCCTCTGCCTTCCCAACTTCATTCAGAAATGCTTTTTCAATATGAGAGAACACATTCCCTAGCCCCAAAATGCTACCAGTGTCCTCTTTACTGTTGAGACTAACTCGACTGTCCCTCAAAATCTCCGTCAATTTGGTAGTCTCTTGGTTTGAACTTCCTTCAATTGCTGATGCCACTTGCATATGACATACATCCAAGGCTTGTTTCCATATTGCAAGCATGACAAGCTCAATGGAAAATGCTTCCAGATGCCTGTCTGCAGTAATCTATAAACAGAACAGAGAAATATTAGTGAGAAAACATCAGTAATGATACAATAGCAGCTTAGACAGCAGAATTGTCTGCCAAGCCAAAAAGAATCACGAAGACGCAGTATTTCTGGAATATGGTATCTAGAGAACACTGAAAAGTTGAATGGGTACGTTTTCGCAAAAAGATTCTAAAGAGTAGGCAGATACAGATACAAAGATATCACCAGCATTCAAAGATTTAGCACCACCTGATATTAACAAGGTTGGTGCATGTTCAAGATATATCAACCAGATCACTATAGTTGTAGAGGACCGAGGAGTTTTGACTCAGAGCTAAAGTTTGATAGAAGACTTGATTTACTGAATGAATCCAGTGCAGAAATCACCGCGCTTTCTTTTCATATTCTTCTTTTTTCTCTTACGCTCTCAGAAATGAGAAAAGGCAAGTTTTATAGAACTGGGTGGCCAAGCCAATATGGAGCAGCAGAATGGAGCGGTATACAATAGGGAGATATCCTACAGAATATTTGTGAGCCCAGTAATGTTATGAGGGGGTAAAGGTTGTGCCTCTAACGCTCAACTTATGTAAATGTCATAGAAATACAAATTTTAACATGGATTTGCAATCACACAAAATTGAACATATTAGTCACATCAAGCAGCGGGTCAAGTATTACATAAAGAATAAAATAAGAGGTCATCTAAGATGATTTTGATCATATTCTAGATGGACCTTCATATGTACTGGTCGGTAGGTGCGACTATGATGATTTAACGTGATAAAAAGGGACTATATAAACTTAAAATCAGAGGGAAGTCGTCTAAAAACCTATGATCTGTTGAACCAATACAGACTTGAGGAACAAAACACAAGGAGACATCAACTAGATATGATTAGGCTTAGATCTTATCATTGTTGCATTTGGTCTGGCGTTATCAGTGACATGTATATCTTGGTATAAGTGCAAGATATAAGGAACATCTCGTTTTGGAGAAACCCTGCCTTAAAAAGACGATCTAGTGTTGGAATAAATAGGAATGAATAGAGTAAAATGGAACAAAGGCTTTGTTAGCCGACCCAACTAATTGGGATTCAGGGCAGTTGGTTGTTGATAGCATAGATGTAATGTTCGGCCAAGTCAAATGTATAAAATATCTCCAATATAAGTAGAAATTTATTTACCTAGAAAACTAAATAAATGAACCTCAGATCATAAATTACAAAACCAAATAGAATGTTGATACCATGTAAATAACCTGGTCCACCACAGAAAAAGCTATGCTTCGCTTTGTGAAATTCTTTAAAAAGGTTTTTCACGAATTAAAAAGTTGACTTTATGTATGCAAAGTATACTTCAGAAACAACTCAAGATTGTACTGTACATCTTCTACTCACATTTGTCACAACAGAGATTTGTCCAACTCAGAGTCCAACTCAGACACAGAATGATTTCAAACTTATGATATTGAACACACTGCAGAGCAACAAATTTGTACACAATTTCCAGGAATAAACAGCAAACAATGAAGCGAAGGTCTATCTGCACCAAGATGAAGATGTTCATACTTCTGCTTTTTTATTATTGATACATGATTAGGAACCACACATTTTCACCATGCCTAGGTAACTTCGACATATACTTTTTGAAGTACACAGGGATGACCAAGTTGATAAAGTTAGATGAGTCCACTTGAGCAAATTTGTTAGACTCCAAGGGTCCTACCTTGGATGCCACTAGAGCAATGCTAAACAAAAGTAGCAAGGCCGCTACAGAACTGCATTACGCTCTAAATGAAGCGTAGGAGAAAATAAACTTGCGGATCCACAATGAACTAGACAGAACTGTTCTCCCTCCATTCCTGCATGCTAAGAACCACCTAACTAACATATTTGTTAAGATATAGGACCTCCCATATTTTTAAAGAGAAAATGCCATCAATGTGAGTTACCTTCTCATTTACTAACTCTGTGATAGCAGAAGCAGAATGTTGCAGTGACACAATTCTGGCTATGCCATCAGTCGGCTGCTCCAGAGGGTCTACAATATCTGTGGATCCTTGTGAAGCTCCTGGAGCAAAAGAGGAACTTTCCAACCTTCCTACAGGACCTATTCTATTAGTTGCAGAACCAACAGTAAGCACCGGCTCACTTACTCTAGTTTCTATGTTCCCAGAGGCTTGCAGTGAAAAACTTGATCTGAATTGCATATTGCTAAGCCTGGATGTACCTGCTGAAGAAGATGAGTCCATGAGGGACCTAGATACAAGGACATATTCCTTCTCAATCAGCTCGAATGAATCCGCCACTGTTGAATCAGGTGAATATCAAATCAGGAAATTCAATCCTGACCAAACTAATTAGAGATAAGCAAAAGGCAACTTTAGCTGAATATGTAGGCAAAAGGAAAATTGGGAACATTATTGCAAAAGAGCACCTTTTGGACATAGTCTATGGTCCATTAATCTAGATTCCTTCAGGTTCCCTTCTGAGTGTCCGTGTTGGCCAGGGCTAAAACCAATAGTATCTGATTTGTGCGTGATGTTACTACAATCCAGAGGAGGATCAATTCTGCTTGGAGCACTAGAAACTTCTTTCCTATCAGCTCTTGCAACCTGAGAATGTCCACAGGAAGATCTCTGTGGTATTCCAGTAAAAGGACTGCTGGAATAATCATCTAGACTAAAGGGAAGACCATCTTCTTGAAAAGTTTTCTCAGTACTCCTTACAGGATTGCATTTTGCCAGAGAAAAACCATCTATTACCCTTTGAGGTCTCTGATTCCTGTGTACCATGTCCGACGCATAAAGTCCGAGTGAGGAAACAGTATATAATGCCAAGAACTTTAATTCATCGACTAGCTTACCAAGAAAACTCAGCAGGCTGCTTCTGTGCAAGAAATGGGTGGTTAAAGAACTCTTCAAATGTCAACCGCTCCACTGTGCGTTCAGACATGCAGAATAAGAAAATTTTGAACTTTTCATGAGAAATGCCAGGTAATGGTTACTCTGGGTTTAAATCTTATGGCCTTCTGAATGGTAAAGTATGTAGAAAACAATGATGCAAGTACTCAAGTCTTAGTGTCCATGGGGGACATTAAACTGTTTAACTCCAGACAACATAAATGAAGTACCTGGTTTACAACGCAATAATTTTCGGCACAAATCTATGCAATGAGAACTTAAATTCTTGACATCTAGAGGAAACTGCAATTTAGTGGAGTTCACTATGTTTTGGAGCAACTGCAGGAAAAATGGAGGGAAAAAAATTAGAACAGGGCTGCAAGGCATTTGAATTTCACCGGTCAAACTGAAAACAAAAGAAACAATAAGGTAAGTTACTATGCACAGCTGAAAAGGTATTAAACCTGTATTTGATTGTTTCCACTAAACGGGGTTTTGCCAGTTACAAGCTGAAACAGAATGGCACCAACACTCCAGAGATCTGCCTGTGATTGGAGCCAAAAGTTAACAAGAATTAAAAGAGAATAGCCTATGGACCGGTTACGTAGAAAGAGAATACCACCTTCGCATCATACTTCTGAAGCTGCATTATTTCAGGAGCCATGTACAATGGTGAACCACATAGAGTTTCTGCAAGTACCCAAGGCTGCAAAGACCTGAGAAGAGAGAATGGTACTTTTGAGTCGTTAGGAGTTTCGAGTGGATTACTTAGGAAAACCTTTAACCCTAAGGCTGCAAATCTTAAAACAGAAGGGAAGGATAAGAGTAAATCTAGCAAATGTGTTTTCTGAAAAGAGATGAAATGTTAAGGAAGGGTGCGCATGAGAATGACGTTCCAACAATGTACTATAAATTTACCTTGCAAACCCAAAATCAGCAATCTTCAAGGTGGAGTTGTCATCAGCTGCAGACAACAGAAGATTCTGTTTGATCAAGACAAGGGCACAAGTCAATGAGTTGATAATTCTACCGAAAAAGCCATTGAATTTCTGAAAAAGCTTCCAAAATAGCTCCTATCTCCCAAAGAAAGAATTACAACCAAAGAGACACTATTCATTCATAGAATACCACACATTTGGTTCCGTTCCCTCAACTAAGATACCAAATTGCAAATGAAAATACTAATATATCTGTATACAAAGAGTCATCTCCTTGAATGGGCTTCCTTTTCCTTTGTTATTTCGTTTTTATTAATGAGTTAATAATAAGAAACCTACATTGGAGAAATGCGATTTTCTATTCAAGAATAAAGCAACTGAATGCCTCAATCACCTGTAAGTCATGCCAAGTACTTCCTAAAGTTAAATCTTTTTTTTTTCAAATCCGTAGCTACTAGAGCTGGTTGTAAATATAACATGCGGCTTAAAAAGAACAAGGTAAGTGCTACTTGAAAATGTCAAATCATTAGAAAATGACTAACGAGTAGTCCCTTTGAAACTGTTGTTTTTTTAATATTTATACTAGAGAAATGCTACAGTGATAGACATTACATGCTCATGACTTCAAAGGTGAAAACTTCTGGAAAGGAAAACACATTTCAGCAGCTAAATACTCCTCCTTAAACAAAAAACAACTAAATTCATATGTTTAAATTTGTAACTTAGGTTGTCAAGGCGACCACCAAAGCAAACTAAAATGTGGTGCAACACTGGAAGGAAAGCATACCTGGGGCTTTAGGTCCCTATGGATTAGATTGTTTTCGCGAAGGATTTTTAGGCCTGATGCTGTGACATGGATATGAATATGAACATGAATATTACCATGTGGAATTCATCTAGATAAGGATAATTCAGTCTAAAAGTGAGAAGAGGAAAATAGGCAAAAGAAAATAGATGCTTTACACAAACCTAGCTGCTGCATGAAATGTTTTGCAGTTGCTTCTGTGATTCTCCCTTGGCGTCGTTGGATGTACATTGAAAGATCACCTCCTCTGCAGTACTCCAAAACAAAATATATTTTTCCCGGCTCCTATAACCCACGCACATGAGGGTTCATTTAGAGAAAAACCAAAAGCACCAATATGAAGGTTGAAGAAACATTCTGTTCATCTTTTAAGCAGATCATATAGTCAGTCACACCATGCAACTCCAAATAGAAAATAAATAATGCAAAATGTGTAAATCTAGGATGGATGTACTAATCAGGTCTCAGATTCTAGTATCAAAATTCATCCTTAGCTAGGCATAAGTGCTGAATTTTATCATCATGTAGAGTTACAACAACAACAACAACAACTATGGCTTAGTTCCAAACAAGTTGGGGTTGACTATATGATTCCTCTCTTCTGAAGCTCAATGTCATCATCAGTTGAGCTTCCGTTGAACTTCAAGAGAAGGAGTTAAATCTCCCTAAAACCGTAGTAAAACCAAGCTAGACGCTTCTCACAATTAAACATTATGTTACGCTGTTTGTTTAACTTATTTATAATTTCTTCCTAAGATTTTCAAATCGGATTTTTTAACTAAAAAATGAGCATTGGGTTTGTCGCTTGAAAATACAAAAACATAAAGCATGATCTCAAAACTCCATTCGTCGAAAAAAGCAGTTAGATAAACCTTTACTGTTTTCCTTCTTATTTGCATAATCCTTGGTGTGTAGACTTATCCAAAAAGTGCACCGTACTCGGCAGAAATAGTCGAGGTGTGCACAAGTTGATCCAAATACAATTGTTAAAATAAATCAATAAATAGATCTCTATCATTTTCAATTCTTCTCTAGTACTCAAAAACAAAACAGCACACAAGCACCTAGATGTAAATTCACATGACAATCTCAACATAATAGTACTTTGCAAAGCAGAAAATTGCACTTCATTGTCACTTGGGTGGTGGGTGCAAAATTTCGGAGCCACTTTAGTTTGTAACAGCAAATACGAACTTGTATAAAAATATACTACTTACATATTACTCTAAAATTGTGCAACTATATATAAAGTTAAAACACTGAAATTGAATAAGAGTTGAGTAGTGGGACCTCAATCATGTCATGCAAGCGAATAATATTAGGATGATTAATCTTCTGCAAAATGATAATTTCCGACTTGAGGCTCTCCCGGAGTTTCGGGTCGAGCCGAGCAGTAGCAATCTCCTTGATTGCAACGTCTGTACCATCGACACGGTGGCACCCGTGCCACACCGTTGAAAATGACCCTGTCCCGATTTGCTTCACAATCACATAATCCCCAATCATAAACCTCCCACCTCTGTTCATCGATTCAGCCATCCCCGCAAAAATTTATGCCAATTGCAGAATAATTCAACTTTTTTTTTTTTAATTTTGATACGGGAGGCGTACAGATATGGAGATGATATTAGGGTTTAGACTTTAGATTATCAGCGAGGAACTCTGCTGTTGGTGACTGAATTTTAAAAATAATGGTACTGTATTGATTAGGGAGAGAGGACAAACAATGGCTACATCTTCTTTTATCAGTGTCTGTATTGGATTTGCAAGTTTGATGATAGTGTGCCGTGTCAGTGTACTTGGTGAACATATTGACTTGGCTTCAACTGGATTCTTTATTTATGTATTCCTCTTGTGTTTTTTAATTTATGTGTCGCTATTTTAATCAAACTTTTTAAATTTTAATAATAAATTTGTAGTTAAAGAAAAATTAATTAACTCATGCTCATACAATTAATTCATTTATACCTTCCCTATCGTAAGAATTGTGATACTTTGATTTGTCGGTTTCATGAACTGTTTTTGGTTGTGCAAAATAAAATTAGAAACAAGAAAAAGCAAAATTAGAAAAGAAAACCAAAATAAATTATTGATTTTTTACCGTGCTAGATTCAAGAACAATATTAAAATTTGATTTAGTGCAGTTTTAGAGTTTAAATAATTATCTGATCGATCATATGCTAGATGCGTCTGGGTGGTGTAGTTGGTTATCACGCTAGTCTCACACACTAGAGGTCCCCGGTTCGAACCCGGGCTCAGACAATTTTTGTTCCCTTTTTCTATTCTTCTTCATCATTTGTCTAGTGATGTATACTCCCATTTTCATCATCCTCAAAATTTTGAACCACTTTACTACTCTCCGGAGGTCATACTTGAATTTCCACTTTGTTTTCTCTACCTTTTCTCCTTTCTCTTATCGTGGCTTTGTGTTCCTCTGAATTCTAGGGTTTCGCATAATAATTCTTAGCAATGGATTGGGGCAACGTGAGCACACAAGATCTAATTGAGGCTCTACGCGAAGTCGAGTGGTCATCTCCGCCACGTCCCCCCTCTGAATTCTTCTCTCGATTCACTTTCCCTCGATCTTATACCAAATGGAACAGTCGCCTCAAGTGTAATCTCTACTAGTACGTACGTTTGAAAAAACTGCAAATTTAATAAATGAAATGTTTCCCTGAATTATTTTAAAAATTGCTTTGGTTTTGTTTTTGCAGTTACAGGACGAATTACTTTATTATGATTGTGGTTATTCTTGGTAAGGAAAAATTGTTGAGTTTTATTCATTTCAGATATGATTTTAACATAACAGTGTTAATTTGGAACTAACAAGTACAATTCATGTGTATTTCGTATTGCAGCATTGGGGTTTCTAAGGGGGCCACTTGCAATTGTTGCTGCGCTTTTGACAGCACTTAGTATTGCTTTTCTAAATGACAGGTATTTCTATTCTATGGATTGTTTTATCTGTGGTGAGGTTTTTGTTTGCCACTAGAGTTTTAGTTTGTCTCTTCAGGAGCATCCTATAAAACTGGAACGATATTGAGAAGAAAAAAGAACAGATTTTTAGTTTACATTTCATTCGTCTGTATTTTGCATTCTTGTCTTGGCTTTTCTAAATGACAGGTCGAGGATGGGGAAGAAGGGGGAGAGGGAGGTTAAATGGTTAGAGTGACTGACGGGAGGGTGGTTGTTAATGGGTAAAGGGGGTGGTTTTTTTCACGTGCAAATGTGGCAATTTAATAGAGCCAGCATGGATTAAATGGGCGAATTGGAGCTTCGTTAGCAAAGAAAGGCAAATATGTATGAATAATGGTGAGGGTATTTTTGTTGCCAACTTCTAATAGAGGGCAAAGTTAAGGAAAGTCAATAAGTGGGGAAAATTTGGACCTGTTTTAGATAAAGTAATAACCTTGGTACAAATGAAATATTTTCATTTTTTTGTCAACGCATCGCGAGCGGGTCATCTTGAGTTTGAGTTAACACCTTTGTCATTTCTTCCCTTCTTGGTTTTCTTTTATGCTTTTGTGCAGGTTATATCTTTTGACTTGAACTAAACCTGAAGTTCTGCCCTCTGGACACCATTTTGCAAGTTCTCTCCTATTTACTAAAGGGTTAAATATTAGCTTTTCTAGCCTTGAGTTATTTTCTTAGAGAGTTATTTTTCTTTAAAACTGCAGTAGTTTGAACGGCATAGTCTTTTGGTATTTGGTCTACAAGAAAATAGTATACTCCTGATGCAGGGATGTAGTAGTGAACTAAATGCATTTTCATTTGTTACCCATTAGCGTATTCTGCACTCTGTATGGAGAGAAAACGACACGAGTCATTTCTACTTTGTGAAAGTTTTTCTATGTTTTCCTGGTCAATAGTATTTCTTACACTTTATATTAGGCTGAACAAGAAGGAAAAGCTTTCATGTTAGTTTGATGTTTCAGTTTTTCTGGTGATGCGTCAATAGTTAGAACAATAACCGATTTCAAATCAGTAGGTTTTATTTACTGTTGGAAGATTTATCTGTTTGTTCAGAGATGTTTTATTCAGATATGCATGGGATACAAAATTTGCTGCTTAAAGATTCTAAGTTTTATAACTGCATTCATACTTTATTCTTGCATCTTTTAATGTTGCTAAGTGTTGTTCCCGCAGTTTTGCAGGTACCTTTAGCGAAAAGGTGACAAGAACTGTCAGGCAGTTTTCACCTCATTTAGCTGCAAAAATGAGGCCTCCACTCACGTGAGTACACATGTATATTTGGGTTATTATAGCACACTGAGTCTGTATCGCTGCTGACATATGTTTGATAATGTTCAGGCCTGTTATTCGAGGGCGGCCATCCGCTAAAAGAGCAATATTCATTTGTGGAAGGCCTCGTTCGGTGTTTGTCTTTGTATTTTCTATAGGTACTGGAATTGTTTGTTTTCTTATATGGTTATTATCTTCCTTTTCCTTCCTGTTGAACCTTTGGGAGTTGTAATATGAAATTCTGTTTGATCGCTGTTGTGATTATGCAGTGAGTTTCTTCCTCTGGTTTGTTTCCTGTGGCCTCTTAACGGTCTTGTGGGCACTTGGTATAGGCCTTCTTGGTAAGTTCTCTCGTTCTAATTATAAATTTCGTTCAACTTCTATGTAACGATTTAAGAAAACTCTCTCTCTCTCTCTCTCTCTCTCTCTCTCTCTCTCTCTCTCTCTCTCTCTCTTCAGCCACTCTTGTTCATGCAAGCTTCAGGACTCCTAATTTGAAGGCTCGTCTCAATACATTTCGTGAAGAATTCCGACCTGTCTGGCGCAACTATAGTGAGCTGTAGCTTCAATGGACTTCCGGTAGCTTTACTGTGATTCCCCATTAGATGTATTGATTCGTTAATTATATTTTTCTTCATCTTATTGTCTGTAAATTAACATGGTCTAATCAGTCTTGAAATAGTACAAAAGACATGTGGTTTGGCATTTTACATGCTTTCCGGATAAGGTTCTTTAAAAGAAAAGAAAAATACTGGTCGATCCTGTATTTTTGAACTCTCTCTCCAGTTCGATTCGCAAAGAATGAAATGATGTCCTGATAGCAAAATGGATTGATCTATAATATATAGTGTAACTTCAGATTTAAGCTGCTAAGATCATATGAACTACAAGGTATTGGTTTTGAGACTCTGTTGTATCCTATTTACAAATATCAATTTGATTGGCTTCCTATTGGTTTTATGCTTGCGCTATGCCTTGTGACTTTGAGTGTCCATTTACCTTTCTTTAACCTGCATCTCAAATTCTGCACAACTTAAAATCCTATGCCCTTGGGCATTTCTTTAATGAGACCTCTTTATATTGCAGTTTGACGCAGTATGGCTTAAAAACTGATTAAATTGCAGTATTAGCAGTAAACTCATCAAACTAATTGCTCCAGATTACAGATGTCTCCTACATTTTTGCTTATTTTATTTAAAAAGTGACTGCTATTTAGACTTGTGTTAGTCTCTTGGCTATTTGTATTGGAGTAGGTTTTGGAATATTGCCATCACGTGTTGTGGACTCGCAGATCAGCCAAGCGACTGTAGACTTTGTTAAATTCTTCCCTCTGTGGTGTATTCATTTTTATACATATGAGAAGCTTTGGGTTATCGTCGCAGCTGGAGTAGTATTTCGTAGAATGTGGCTGTTTCTATTTGAAGTGCATTTGTAATGCCTATACGAAACACAACGTCTCTCATAACAGTACACAGTTAAACTAGTAAATTATTGAAGTTTTTCATGTGATTTACTATAAATTTCAGTGGGTCTGTTTATACACATATTCTATGACATAGCGTTTCTGTGGCTGTTTCTTAATTACTCCGATTACTAACGCACTTGAAAGAGGTCCATGCTTCTGACATTCTTTGGTTGTCACCCAAAAATGCCTATAAATAGAGGCACTCGATCTCATGATAGTAAGAATTAGTGACGTTTAAATCGAACCGGGAAATCGCACCAAATAGAAAAGTCAAAACTAAATTGATTAAAAAAACCAATTAGGTTTGGTTTGATTTTGTTTGATATTGAGAAAACAAAAACACAAACCAAACCAATATATAAATATATAATTATATATATACGTTTAAGATTCTATATAGAATTTCTTTGAAATATGTCTAGAAATATTTAAGATCCTCCCATGTAATATTTAATAGGACTACGAAGTGCATCCATTTTTGTTGGCTTTAAAATGGTTGTTTTAAAATGGTTGTTATAACAGCCTAACCCACTAGTGATATTGTCTGATTTGGGCCTAGGCCCGCACGGCTTTAAAACGTGTCACTAGAGTCTAAGGCCTGTCTACTTATATAGCTGGTATTTCTCCCGTGTTTTGTCGACGTGGGATTCGCCTAGGGTGTCACATACACCCCCTTAGGGACTCTGCATCCTCTCTGAGGTTTGCCCCACACCGTGCAAGGTTGCACGCGGAGTGGCTCTGATACCATATTGTAACAACCTAGCATACTAGTGATATTGTCCGCTTTGGGCCTAGGCCCGCACGGCTTTAAAACGCGTCACTAGAGCGTAAGGTTTGTCTATTTATATACCCAACATCTCTCCCGTATTTTGTCAATGTGGGATTCGCCTAGGATGTCACATCTGTATCATCACTTTCTTATCAAGTGTTATTGAAATGCCTCAATCTTTTTGTACTTTCATATTCATATGTCAAGATCTGTTAAATTCTTATTTCTTTTTCGAATTTGAAATAGTTTTTCAATAATTTTAAAATTAAATAGAATATATCATTAGTTAGGTTTCATATTGATTTTTATGTTTAATTATTAAATTTGGTTATACTTGAAAGTTTTCATCAACGAAAAACTATTGTTAAACGACTAAGAAAATAACTATCACATCTTGCTAAAACCATTCTCCCATAAGAATATTAGATCATATGTTTGTCATTTGTTTTTTATTTTTTACTAAACATATATTTACTTATCAAAATTTTATCTATAACTTTAACAAAGTAATATTGAAATAATATTCATTTAACAAAAAAAATCAAAAAACCTAAACCAATCCAAACCGATATAGTTAGTTTGGTTTGGTTTTGATAAAAAAAAAATAGACCAGCCCGATCTATGTACATCCCTAGTACGAATAGGTGAAAATAGTACGGGCTAGCCAGTTCTTGGACTGGTAATTGAAAAACAGTCAGGGCTTGCAAAGTCATTGAAAAATATTCCTTCTGTTTCAATTTAGATAACACACTTTCCTTATTAGTCCGTTCCAAAAAGAATGACACATTTCTACAATTGAAAATAATTCAACTTTAAACTCTTCATTTTACCCATTTTAACCTTAATGAGAAGCTTTTATAACCACACAAATATCATGACCCCACAAGCTTTTATTCCTTAAGTTTTTAAGACCACAAGTTTCAAAAGTCTTTTTTTTTCTTTAAACTCCATGCCTAGTCAAACTACCTCATCTAATTTGAAACGGAGGGAGTAGTCATTTTTTTTATGAAACAAGGAAAGTTCCAGCATAATATGTTGGATTATGGAGCTCCTGCGTATAAACTTCCAGCATATTATATTGGAACTCCAACACACAGAAAGTTCCAACATAATATGCTAGATTATGGAGCTCATGCATATAAACTTCCACCATATTATGTTCGAACTCCAACACATTATGCTAGAATCTCATATGTAAAATAATCAAACCCCAACATATTATGCTGGAATTTTTTCAAATTTTAAGGGTGTTTTTGTTCAGATTTTATCTTTACAAGAAAAAATAGCTGAATTTCGATTACTTTTGAAATTGTGACTATTTTTCAATTACCAATTGTAAATCTGACTATTTATGATTTTTCCCCCAAAAAATAGCTCTCCTTATGGGATCTGTAATTTATGTCAAATTGCTCCCTGAACTTCTACTGTTCCTGCTTAGGCAGACCCTAGAAAACATTTCTGTTCATTTGACGACTCTTATTTGTCCACTCATGAAAACAACAACTATATAACATTAGACCAATCAATTGTAGGCAAATACACCGAGAAATATCTCAAAGTTAACGACCAAAAGTGAATACAAATATGAAACCAGTGATAATTGTCCAACTATATTGCATCACACTTTAATGATCAAATGGCAATATTGCTCTGGTCTCTTTCCGTGCCTTTAGCTTAATTCACTAATTTTACTAACAACATGGGCTCAAATAGCAATAGATACCATTATTCCAACAGCTAGACCCTTCTTTGATGTAAAGATATAGATTAGTGTAATTGCTTGAAAGGATAGAGCTATCAATATGCAGCCAATAAAGAACAAAATCTTTTTTCAAGCTTCGGTAGATTAAAATTTAATAAACATTAATTACTCATCATAACATGTAAAGACATTTCTACTGAAATTTTACTTTAAACTCTGAAAATATAATAAAGAACAAACCATCTTTATCATATCCTTTAAAAGGTTACACCCCGTTAACAAGGATTAGTTGAATGATTGACAACAAGTTATCATTATCACGTGAAAGAGGATTTGGTAATTTCTTATCACCAAAAGCTTGGTTACACTTAGAAACAGCAAGCCTAGCATCTGCTCCTTGTTGACCTATAGTTCCTCCAGATTGGAAAGCTGCTTTTATGCTTGAAATATCCAAACTGAGCAGATTATAATCTTGTAAACAAGAACTCAAAGCAGCCTTTACATTTGGATTTTTTGCACTTTGGGACAGTGATATGGCTTTATTAATTACTGCTCTTACTGTCTTGGACCCCAAATCAATTGTTATTCCCTCAAGATCATGATCAGTTTTTGCTGTTTTAGAACGAGGATCTGATCCAAGAAATTTTAAGCAAAAGTTTTCTACAAATACTGCTCTATGACAAAAGTTTGACACTAACGGGGTTTGGCTTGTTGCAAGATTTACAAGTGTAGTAACACATAAAAAGATGAGAAAAATCAGTTTGGCCATTTTCTTTTGATGTGAAAGTGAAGGAGAAAATGGAGTTATATGATGCAATGAACCTTTCATGTCTTTTTATAGTGAAATTCTGAAGAAATTTAAGATTGTGAAGATCTGTCCTATTGTGAAAAATCTTCATTAAGATGCATTTTTGGCAAAGTGATCCAGATTAATTAAGTTACTAGTAGTTATGTATTAGTAAAATCTACACTAGAGATCCCGTTATATTTTGCAAGGTGATCAAGATCAATATGCATTTTTGGCAAAATGATCCAGAATAGTTAAGTTAATAATTATGTATTGGTAAAATCTACACTAAAGATCCCATAATACTTCGCAAGGTGATCAAGATCAATAAAGTATTGTGATCATATTGTAAAATCTATATATATTTTTGAGTGTTGCATCTTCCATTTTATTAATTGAGTTTGAAAAGTCAAATATACAATCTTTGAATTAATAAACTTTATATGGTTTCTAATAATTCCTCAATCAAAGATAATCGTATCAGATATAGATACTTTTGAAAGTCTGGCATCCATTCCAATACTTCTTTATTCGGATTACCTTGCCAATAAGAAACTAGGATACTCATAATCTTTTAATTAAAGTTTTACCCTTTTTTGTCCTTTTCCATATAATTAGTTTTATTCGGTGATTTTGATTGACTTAATTAATTTTCCTATTTTCGTTTGCAGAAAATTCTGCCACAGTTTCACCGTATCCTGGGAAGACCATGAATTGAATGCACTTTATTTACTTCTAATGCACAAGTTTTGAAGTTCTTACATAGAAATAAAAGCAATAATACAACAGTAGGATATTCATTTTATTACTCAAAAGTGCAAAGATATGGTATGACACTACAATATAAATTTGAAATTGACCCCTAAATATAATCACTGAGCATGTTCACAGCAAATCAAATTCTTGGAAATGTTTCTTTTTTATCGGATATTCCCAAAGGGACATGAAAAATATTATCAACAGTAACTCTAGAACTCACCATCCAATATCTCTTCGAGAACTTTGGCAAATGGAGTAGCTCTAAACAGGCTTGCCTGCAATATGCAAAAATAATGCCAAGAATCCAATTAAAATATATCCAGAAAAGTTCTAGATAAATATATCTGGTAAATGCATTGATAGAGAAAATCTCCAACCATCAAAGTTTAATTCAGTGAGTTAGCAACGGTATTATAAAAGAATTAGGGGGAATGGTGAGACAATGGTAAATGGTAATGAGACTTAGTAAACGAACGATTCAAGCTCCTTACAGAAGGCATGCAGTTCAGATTGATAACTCGATAAGCTACATTCACAGAATAAAACCACTCTTTCAAAGGTGAGATCACTCCCAATTCCTATTTTTCTTAGCCTAATCATTTATTCGTGGAAGTAAATTATTCAAAAAGTCTCCCACAGGTAAGGATTTGTTTTTCTGTTATCTATTCGGTCGGGGAGTGGGAAAGTTGTGTAACTATAGCCAATCAAACTACTATCTGGTCCAGTCATATAGCCATGACCCATGAGTTTATAACGTGTCTGTCACTAGTTAGAAATATCAAAGTACTGAATTATTCTAAAGTCTAACAACCACAAATGCAGGTTGTAATATTCTTTTCATTTTCTTTTTTCTTCCAAGGAACAGGGAATGCTATATCCTGAGAAGATATATATTTTTGGTCCTAATGCATTTTCACATTTAAATCTGGTAAAAAGTAACGACTGATATGTAACTGCAACCTTAATTATATGAAAGGACTTGAAAGTACAATAGGTATGAACAAGGGTTGTGGTGGAGTGGTAAGTACTCCTTTATCCTTAACTAGAGGTCTCGGATTCGAGCCTTGAATATGGAGTCGCATTTTTTAGGGAGCGTTTTATCCCCCAATATAGGATTTCTTGGCGCGAATCCGGATTTAGTCGGGCCTCAATGCAAGTACCGGACACCGGGTGGGAAACAAAAAAAAAGTACAAAAAGGTATTGAATAAGAAGGAAAACAGAAACAACTTGCCTGCTGAATTTCGGAGAACTTGGTGAACAAGTCATCAGGTATGGACCAGTCAAAAATATCAAAATTCTCTTTGATCCTGGATTCATTTGTGCTTTTAGGAAGTACACTATGACCAATCTGCACACCCCAACGAAGACAAACCTGAGCAGGAGTCTTTCCCAATTTCTCAGCAACTGAGAGTACAACAGGCTGCTTCAGAACCTCATCACCCTTAAGGAATACTAAACCTGGAGAACCGAGCGGTGAATAGCCCTGAAAGAATAAATTTTTAAAGTACCGAAATAAGTTAAATTGATGGCCAGTCTAGTCATGAAATAATAGTAATTAATCAATCAATTCCAAGCAGACAGAAGCATCAGCGCAAGAATTCGCTCCTGAGAAATTGACTAGAATATATGCAAATCTGAAAACTGCTTTTAGTTAGTGAGCTTACAGAGAGGTGCACTCCCCTGGATTTGCATAATTCCTGCAATTTTGTCCGCTGACATGTAGGATGGCACTCCACTTGGTTAACAGCAGGAGGAATACGAGCTATTTCCAAAAGATCTCCTAGTTTTTTAGTAGAGAAATTGCTAACCCCGATAGCTCTAGCCTTCGTAGAATCATAAAGTTTCTCCATTGCTTGCCATGTGCTAGGTATATCTCCTGGAATTAGATTTTCAGGTTTAAAGCCATCCGCAGCATTCTTCATCCGAACAGGCCAGTGCATCTTCAAAAAAGATAAAACCAAAAAGGAAAACCAAAAATGTAAGTACTCAGAAGTCGAGTCAAGGCACAGTATAGCAGCAGATGCTTCTAAAAGATAGTTAATCAAAAGTTTCAAAACTGAAACATCTAGTCAGCATCACAAACAATAGAATATGAAAAGCTTCCGTTAAGCAGAACTCACAAGGTACAGATCAATGTAGTCAAGTTGCAAATCATCTAGAGTCTTTCTGAACGCAGCCGGTACATCTTCAGGAGCATGATCAGTGCACCTACACAAGTTCATAAATCAAAATCTGTTAATATCTTTAAAAATAATGGACAAAAGTTAATGGAAAAGAACCAGAGATAACCAACACTGCAATTGCTTCAATGCATGTCATCTGAATGAACTAGGATACGCCTTTGTTCTTGTAAAATTTAGAAACAAAGACATTTGTGCATATAAATGAAAGAAAAGAGTATATCAGCAAATTAAAAATCCCGTTGTTAAAGGCAGCTTAGAGTATTTATTCCATTATCAAAAATAATTAAAAGCATCCATTACATCCCATAACACAAGAGAGATAGAGAGAGAGAGAGAGATTATGTGAGTGAGAGCTCAACAACGCTAAATGAAAGAGCGGCGATAAATAATTGATGAGATCACAAACATTGAATAAGTTAACTTCCAAAAGGACAGTAATCTGACTCTGTTATATTAAGGGCGACAAAAGAAGAAAAAGGCGCCCTTTATCAATTTGTTTGAATCTTGATTACCACAGCTTGGATGTAATAAAGAGATCTTCCCTCTTGACAACACCATCTTTGAACAATCTCTTCAGAACTTGACCAATCTAAATAAACGTAAAAAAGTCAGCAGAGGTAGTACTTTCAGTTCTAGATTAATGTAGAAAAGAGGAACACAAACATTGATCACGTCGTACATTCTAGAGGAATAAATCATAGTTTAAACAGAAAGCAATAAATTATTAGTCTGGCACATGTTTTGCAAGATTAATCTCGAGCGAAAACCATAAACATGGTACAAAAAGGGGTTCATAGCTTCTAAGATTAAGATGTTAGTCCAACTTTGACAGGAGACACAAATGCTAGACACAGCTTGCAAAAGAGTGCATGTCTTCTAGTAAACAAAGCCAAACATGACAATTAAAATACCATCTTAATGAGATTCACTCCTCTAAACACATTATGGATTTGTGCTGATATCTGAGATCCAAGATAAAATGCATAAAACTTTTCACCCTACACCAGCATTTGAGGAACATGTACAATGCATGTGAAAGGTAAGTAATAACTTAGAAACGCTTCGGCAAAAACAGACATTTCAACATAATACCCTATATTGTCTCTAGGCAAGTGATAGATTAACAAGGCCATTTGTAATAACATGAGTATGCTAGAGACATTTATCTATGAAAAGCCTATATTTGCTTTATTGTTAACTCAAATTACCTCTTTTTCATTGCCATAAACTTGAGCACAATCAATATGACGGTATCCAACCTGCAGCGCAAATGAGAAATGAACAATTAACTCTGAATTTTTGCCGAATACCAAAAATGACATAGCTCTAGTTTCTTGCACCAAACAACCATCCCTTGCTACCCTAAAAGCATACAACAACAACAACATACCCAGTATTACCCTAAAAGCATACAATTCAAGATTAGAGATATGGGATCGCTTAGTTGCAAGTGACAGTTCAAATTGGGTGACTTTCTAAAATTGATCCATAAAAGCATATATTAGTAGCAAAATAGTGTAACAATTGTAGAACTCCCAACTTTTTCCACATTGGAAACGTTATGCCAAATTCTAATAATATAATTATATGAGAAAGAAAATTTGACATGTGAATCATGTGATCCCAAATACAACAGTCGAAAATGAATCCTGTGTATTGACAGCTAGTCCCTCTAAGAATACATTGAAGCAATAAGTGCATGACATGTGTATTATACATAAGTTTTATTAGTTACTGACAGTTAATTAGTATATATTCACACAATTAAGTAAAACACAATTTAAGTTCTATGCACTGGTACTATAAAAAATCATTATATTATCACTATATATAACTTAAATCCTTTAATTTATGAGTTTAAATTCTATGACGGTATTAAAAACATTTAAACAATATTGTAAGTAACCGCAATTGAACAGAGGACCTTGATAGCAGTCTCAATGGCTTGGCCGACGATACCAGGATCGGACTGCCACGTGCCCAAACCAACTGACGGGATCTTAGCTCCGGTATTCAATTCAAAGTATTGTATAGCTTCCGCCATTGACACACACTCTTTGAAACCAAAGCTTAGAACTAATTGGGAGTCAAGGAGAAGGAGATTAAAGAGAAGAAGAAAGAAAATTGGAAAGTGAAAGGAGAAGTATTAGCAAACACAAGCTGTCAACTAAGGGATAGAGAGCCACGATAGTTTAAATTTCTATATGGAGGAAAATCATATCGGAATGTTCAAGAGAAATGGAGTATAAATTTTTAAATAAAAAAGTATTTTATTTAAAGAATCTTTTTTCATTAGCTTTTGCGTACTAAATGCTACAACAATGTCTAAGTGTTCATTAAATTAAATTACATAATAGGATTTGTAAAACAAAATGCATTCTGTTATGAAACACTAGAGTACGTGAATGTCCATAATTCCTAAATTGAGTAACACTCACTACTTTTCTTCGTAAACTTCATAACTCCTACTACTCTAATATTTATGATTGTAACTCTTATACCTCTATAACTTCTCCATGATCGTCGTCCATGATTTAAATGCTTAATGATATGTTTATGATATTCTTATATATACCTCTATGTAATACTATAAATAAAGGATGAGAAGTGATATTGTAGACACTTGAAAATACATGAAAAATACTTGATGAAATAAGAAAGTTCTCTCTTTCCCCTCTACATCTACTGTCTATTTTGTTATTTTATATTGTTGCTTTGAACTTAATTTTTTAACACATTATCAGCATGGAACTCCAATTTTTATTTCAGTTATCATCTTAAAGTACGAAGATAACCAAATCCATGGTTGAACTACAAAAATATTGTCTACCTAGAATCAGTTACGTTGCTAGTGGAAGCTCGAGTATTTCATATTTGAATCAATTTGCTTCAATTGTCCGGGGAGTATTTTTTCCATTCTTCCTATAAATTCACATTTTAATATTTTGAATTTAAGATTTGATATTGTTCATATTACACAACAACAACAACAACAACAACAACCCAATAAAATCCCACTAATGGGGTCTGGGGAGGATAGTGTGTACGCAGACCTTACCCCTACCCCGAAGGAGTAGAGAGGCTGTTTCCGAAAGACCCTCGGCTCCAAAAAAAAAAATAAAAGGGACAAAAAGGGAGACAATATTAGTATCACAACAACAATCATAGGATAAATAGGAACANATCAATGGGAGCCACATGCACCTTCTCCCGAATATCATCATTCCTAATCTTATCTATCTTAGTATGTCCGCACATCCACCGCAACATCCTCATCTCTGCTACTTTCATCTTCTGGATATGTGAGTTCTTAACAGGCCAACACTCAGCCCCATACATCATGGCCGGTCTAACCACCGCTTTATAAAACTTATCCAAACACTACAAGAAACTTGATCTTTAGTGACTGCTTCTTAACGAAAGGACATGAATCTGGTCGTTATAAGTGTACTAATCACGACTATTTTTTTCTCCGGTCGTTAAAGCCAATTTTTAGTTCTGCATTAACAAGGAGAAAATATTTGCTCCTTCAAAAGTATAATATCCGACTGTATCATTAAGGCACTACTTTTCCCTCTCTTTTATTTTTCCCAACCCCATCCTCCACCACCACCCCTCCCCAAATAAAGGAAAAAGAAACAGAAAAAAGAACCCTAAGCCATTCTCTCTGTTTTCGAAGAGTAAATTATGCGGTTCAAACCGATTTGCTCATCACCTGTGACTGATAAAAACTCGATCTACAATTTTCTTCTCTTTCTATTCAAGGTAAGTATCCGCCAAATCCCTAAACCTGCCGTAGAAACTATGGAGTGTGAAATTGGATAGTTTTTGCAGTTCCGGTTATCTCTTTTTTGATAGTAGTTATTATCTTTTACAGAAACTGCGATGGTTTAGTAATCTACTTTTGAGTATTATAATGGAAGTTCCTGCGATGGTTTGGCAATCTAATAGTTCTTTCGGTGTTATTTTACTTTTCTATTGTTGGTTATTTGTATTCAATGATCTCCTCGAACCCTAATTTGTGTTTGGCATTGTCCTACTTATATTTTATCTCAATTCTCGCAATTGCATAGTCTGTATCTATTTATGCCATAACATCTGATCCATTACCCCATGACACATCTGGAATTAATTGCCTCGTCAACGGTATTTTTATTTAAAATGCGAATGCCTTTCTTAAAATAGGAAAAAAAAAGATTTCTGGAAATTGAATTGTGTATGTGTTTGCCTCAATAACTCTATATTCCTTTATTCTCTAGGTAAAAGTCGCCATTAAAGTGAAAGCATCAGTAATTATTTGTTTCACTTCATCTGGAAGGGCATCAAGGTAGAGTTTGTCATTATTACTATATTTCTTGGGATATTGATTCTCTTTCTTTATAAGAGTTGTAATTTATGCTCACGTAAACAGATTGATAGCTAAATATAGGCCAGCAATGCCAGTATTGTCTGTTGTAATTCCTCGACTCAAGATAAATCAACTGAAGTGGAGTTCTAGCGGTGCATTTGAGGTACAACCTAGGGCTCAAAGTTTTTTTAACTATCAAATCCAGCTTATCGGCTGATAGCCTGTTAAATGCATTAGTAGAGACTGAGTATTAAACTATTGCACCTTTGTTTACTTGATATTTTTCTGTTTCCTATTTAGATATGACGTTTGATTAAGTAGTTCGATTGATCTCTTCATTTAAATTGATATTATGCCATCCGATGTTCGACTCCACTATAAATTACTTTAGTAATAATAATGAAGTTTGTGCTCCATATTTTTTGTATCGACGTGATTATTCTATATTTTTCCCTTCTTAACGATTGTGGAAGAGTTTTTTGAAATTCTTTTTAATTTTGTGTTTCAATTTGTCATTTTTCTTGTTTATAGGGAGTCCTATGGTAAATCTATTTGATGTAATTGCAGTATCTGACAGCTGAAATATTAATATATCCTTTTGTATTTGACTTATTTATTTTAATCTATAATTTTCATTCTTCAATTTTATTATATGAAAATATTAGAGTGACAAAAATGTTTGAAATTGCAATAATTAGCTTTTGAAGCGTCTACACTATTTGTCGATCACATCTTTCCAGTTTCATTACCAATGTAGTGATCTACTACTAACTCTTTGCTCTTTTATTTTATTTCATCTGGGTTCCTTTTCTCCTTGTTAATTATTTTTTACGTAATCTTGTGTAACTTTTTATTGACAATGAAGCTGACAGATCTTGTGTTTAATTTCGTCATATTCAGACAAGGCAATCTCTTATTGTCCGAGGTCTTTTCCCAATGCTGGTTGATCCTCGACATCCTGTACGTCATCTCATCAATTTGGTGTTTCACGTTTGTTATTTGATTTATCTTATTCTATTATTGGTATGGTTGATTACATTTAGGTCTTCTTCTTAGTTAGAGTACTTTGTTTTTTGATTGGCTCCTACTCTATCGTTTTTTGCAGTCATTAGATCCCACACAGAAACATATATAATTTCCCCTCTTCCATTTTTTCGTGTTGCTTATAATTCATTAATAAGGTCATATTATATTCCATGCCTATTGCAAACTTGAAACTTATGTCAAATTGAATGGCTTTATGTAGTTGAACAACTTTCACCCCAAATGTTCTTAATTGGATGTTCATATACTTCATTTTGGCTTGTTGATAGAACTAGCAATACTGAAAAAATAGAAATTAGTTTAATGGGTCCTTCCATAGTTCATTCGTAGGAGTCAGTGCTCAGTATCCTTTCCAAGTGCTTTTCTAAAGCAGTGTGTTTTGGAGATGTCTAACTAATTTTTGTTGTGTTCATAACTTACTCCACGGAAGAATGACCATCAATGCCCATTTAAATATCAATAATTAAACATGTAAAGTATGTTGTATTTAGCCGCTTTCATTTAGAGAGGTCAAAATTTATCCCTGGTTTAGCTGTTCCACTAAATTATTAAGCCAAGTTAATGATATTGTACCTCTCATCCTTTGTAACAGAGTGATGTGGACACATGTCTGTGTATATGCTTGTCAAGATTTTGAAGTCTTTCTATTAATAATTTTTTTTTATCTTTGTTCTTTCAGGAGATCAAGAATTTGAAGTTTAAAGAACTTTTCCCAGAAGAAAGTACAGAGCAAGTATAAACAACTGCAAATATTAAAAAACAAGTTGAAGCACATGAGATACATGCTTTCTATTTTGTTTAGAGTTGCTTAAAGATGTTCTCACTTGTACATGAATTCTGTTCTCTTTTGTTAGGAGTTGACAACATATTGTCATGCAAATTAGATAGCTATATTCTTGTAATATGACACTTTAGTTCTTTGTAATAGACTATGAAGTTTATATGAACATATATAATAGTGTCTTTTAAGATGTGTATGTGTATCTAAACCTTGAAAGATTCGATTCGATTGTTGTGGAAGATTAATAAACAACTAGCTAAGGTGAAAGAATAACGACCGAATTTGTTGTCATAATTACAAGATTTAACGACCGGAATTACAAGCAACGAAGGAAAATGTGGTCGCTAAAAGGAGCTACAACGATCGGATTTCTTGTTGTCGCTAAAGGTTCTTTAACGACCGACTTGAGATCCGGTCGTAAACTTTTAATGTCGAGGCTTTTAGCGACCGGCGACGACCGGCTTTTTTCTGGTCGTTATTGGCTAATAACGATTGGATTATGGCTTTTAACGACCGAATTTCCCTTCGCTAAAGGCCTATTTTCTTGTAGTGAAACTTACACAAAATACAATATTATTTGTGCATGAAAATAAGCTGCTTCAATCAAGAAGAACCATATCCAATCTTTTGATTTGCCTATATATTATATGTGTCTGTCGGCAGTCACTTTTGGTAATTGATGAAAAATATACAGTGACGCGAGGCATTAGAATTAGAAATCTGATTTTCATAAAAAGAAAAAAATCATAGTGTTGTAGATTAAACGCAAGTAACTTACGGTGCTATTCATATTTGTTGTGACCTTCGCTGCAGTGTTATCTGAGGCTCCCCATGATTAAAGGCTCAAGGGTGATGCACTATGGCCTATTATGACAAAGGTTAAGGAAAAAACGGTGGGTTTTAAGTCCCAACGCACCATGAGAGTAAGACATTGAATTTTAAGTCCTGATGCTCCATGATTGTAAGAGTTGGGTTCGAGTCCCAACTGATTAAGGCCTAACATGCCTTTATATGGGTAAGTCATTGGGTTTGAGTCCCAATGCACCATATTGATGATATAATGATGACTAAAGAAAAATAATATATTTTTCATGAAAAAGCATGAAACTAGTCCCACTTGATTTGCTCCATTCTTGAAATGAATGTGATAGCAGTGCATAACAAATCTAAATGAAGATAAGTGGTTGACCAATGAACGTAGGCGTGCCAGACCAAAATAATAATAGTCATTATTATGGTAATTATAAAAAGGAGAACAATAATGATTCTCAAATAATCCTTCAAAGGTGAAGGAAATGTGTGTCAATATGGTCTGTAAATATGAGGCACGTTCAGACGATTATAGTCCATTTTTTGAAAGAATGCGACTTGTGATATGCTTTATAAATGCAGACTCATTCCTGAAAGTAAATGTGAATATATATATGTAATACAAATTATGCATAAGAATGTGCTTATGTATGATTGAATAAATACTACAACTCGCCTCTACGGGAGGTTTGAGAGAAAGAAAGATAATGAACATTACTGTGTGGTTACATAAATATGTCATTGGTTGCGTACATGTGGTACGTCAAAAATATTTTGTCATGCCTTATAAAAATTTATTAAAGGCAATATTAAAGCAAGAAATAATTTTGCTTATGATGATTTTGACAATGACAATTATTATGATATGATTTTCTCCATGAATGAGACATTTACCATATGGATGGTGCGACAAAAGATCTTATAGTACAAAATCAATTAAGAATTCCGGAAGAACTAATTTGTTACTACCCGAATGCATAAAATTGTTCATGACATTAATATTATAGTAAATCTCAAAAGAAAATTTTTGAGTTTCAAATATATTAGCCAAAGCGGTTGGCATATTGAGACTATAAATGAAAGGAAGATTGAATATCTTCATATTACTATAATCATACAGGGTAAATATAAAAGGTTACCCGATTTTTCTTCTATTGGTACTACACAAGTATAAGCATGATGATGCAAAAACATGCCATAAGTAAACTGAAGTTTTACTGAAATAAATATTAATTGGCATGACCGGTTGGCTATCCCGGTTCAATTATGATGCAAAAATTAATTGAGAATTCACATTGGCATATATTGAAGAAATAGAAATTCTTCAAGAATTCTCTTATGCCGCTTATTCTCATGATATACCAGTTAAGATTGGGATTGAATCCCTTAATTTTTTGAACGAATAAAAGATTATATATGGGCCCAATCACCTACCATGTGGACCGTTTACTATTATATGATTTTAATAGATGCATCTATTGTATGATCACATGTGTATTTGTTATCAACTTGCAGTTTGACTTTTCAAGTTGATTGCTCAAATTATTAGAGCATAGTTCCAGATTGTAAATTATGACGATTAATCTTGATAATGCTGGTTTAAATCCAAGTTGGTTTAGCAGAAATTATATGCCTCCAATTATAGCTAAACCATTGGTTATGAGAATAAAACTCCAAAAAAAAAATTTGGTATGTGATGTATTATTTAATATACACTGCACTTTTATGCATCTAGCTAAAAACTTATGATAAATTCTCTCTATCAACACTGGTTCAGGGTTAGGAACCAAATAATTTTCATTTAGACATATGGATGTACTATATGATTTAATTGTTGGGTCCTCAAAGAAGGTTGGAGATATGTGTTGGTGATCCCAATACCAGGGGAGAGAATATGGGAAGTTGAAAAAGTAATACATGAAATGAATTATTATGAGTATACCTAGATACTCGTACTAGAAAATGTGAACTTGAAATTCAAGTAATAATTTATTTGCAAAATATGTCCAGGCGCATTTGCCGACCCAAAGCTAAATGTCATATTTTAGCTGCTAATGCTCCAAATAGAATAAAGTTTATGATGAACAAAGTCTATGGCACGCATAAAGCGTAATAGACTAATTTGTTCCAAAGATAAAAATCCTTGAAGAAGGAGAGGAACAAATGATCAAGATGGTCATAATAATGAGGCAAGTATTCTAGAAGAGCACCGCGACATAACACTTCATAAGACCTTATGGGAGAGGCTTAGGTACTTGAAAATAATGAGATAAATAGATAAGTTATGTATTTATTGGGTAACAATGGAACTGATACAAAATGATTGTCGACGATATTGTTGATATTATTGTCACGCCCCGACCTCGTGGAGCGCGACCGGTGCTCAACAGAGTTACCTCGGTCGAGCAAGCCTGCACAGTGCCGTCTACCCAACTCACCCACAAATAAAGAGAAGAATATATTTCATTAATAAGTCAATAAGAAGTCATGTGAACAATACTGGTTCATTTTCATTAGTCACGACATTAACAAGTTTTCAAAACAGTACATTGTACAATCATAGTTGAAGTGGAACAGATGATAAAATTACAACATTTTTAGTTTAAACTTTTCCAAACAGACACAACCCACACTATGTCTACAGAGGCTCTAACAGTAACAAAAGAGTGTT